TCTCGTATCTCACGAACTTGCTATTACAAATTTTGACTTGTTTATATTAGACTCCTCTGGAGGTATGTCATTTTTAGCGGATTTAGTGGGGCGTTATCATACCTCTGTTTACTTTGTCTCTCCCTTCCCGATTTGCTGAAACTGCTGGTCCGGCTTGGACCTATCTGATATCCCTCTTGGCCCCGGAGATCCATTTCTTATCTTAATGGTTGACTGAAGTCACTCGATTCGACAAGGTAAGATGATAAAAATAAAGTTAACTTGGGTAAAAGTGATTATAGAATAAAGATAGGAACATTTATTTGCATTTTAAAGTATGATTCCAACGTGGCCACAAAAGTAGCTAATTGCTACCTGAGCGAAATGATAAATACCAACCACAGCATTATTTTCTTATATATAATAACTTTATGTTGTCATAGACATATTAATTACGCTCATAAATGGGTAATTATGAAGCAAGTGCAAAATAGTGAATCTTCAATAGCAGCAGCTTTATTTTATTAACAGCTTATACATAAAGAGAATAAATACCTAAACAAACACGGGACCCATAAGTTATCATTTGCATAAAGGCTTGCACAAAATCAGCTGCCAAGTCAGATGGCAGGGCGTGGATATATTATGTGCAACTAGGACCTTAGCATCCTGACTAAAGCTAGAAAGAAAATCATGATATGAATAAAGGATACATTTAGGCGAACGACGCAAAAATGAAGGATATTTTCGAACCAACTCTAAAAGCAATGTCCAGTAGATATACATAGTGAAAAAACCTTGCCAAGGCTATTCGTTTGTGTAGTACAATGTGTTAGTGCATAAAGCCTATGATAGAATCTTAAAGATGTTAAAAAGGTGTAGCCCGATCCGATGCAAACTGAAATAAAAGTCGTTAGCTGAGCCTCAGTATTAGCGGGTAAGAAATTTTTGACGATCTTTGGTTGTCTTGCGACTTGTGCCGCAACAATCTATGGCTATTCTAACTTGAGGTGAGCAGGACTTACTTGCATGTTGCATTTATCCAGACTGTGTGGCAGCAACACATGTCTCGACAGAAAATCCGTTATAACTTCATCGCGGTTGCCGCTCATCTGACCACCAGAATAATGAGTTATTGGCGTTGCAGCCTCAGTAAAGCCTACAGGCGTCGAAGGCTTCTTATTCAAGTTGATTGACTTATCGGGCCAAGTCAGTTTGCGTGAAATATGCGAGGGAGAAGCTTTCTTGCGGCCCTTTGGCTTATCCATTTTGACTAAAATATGGAATATAAGACTAAAATAAGTAATGATGAATAGCGATAAGCGATATGTACTTCGAGAAGTTAATGAAAGAAGAAATACCCAAAAAAATAACCAAGACAGGAATTGATAGGAGGCAATTCTAACGAAAATAACAGCAAAGACAAAACTTTAAATGATATAAATTAACAAGTGATTGCATTATTGCTAGAAAGAAATGGATAATTTCGAACAATTGAGACATTAACTTAATTTAGACAATATCACAATTTCGCATAATATAAAGAGTTAAGCTTGAATCAGTACTGAAAATGTTTTACTCACAAAGAAATAATCTTAGAAATTACTAGCCATAAAATGTATCGTAGATATAAAAGCCAGGATGAAGTGGCCTTCTGTTTGGTCGCAGTCTCCTTTAGTTATATAGTGTTGGTTCGACCTTGCTTTAGCAACTTGGTCGGAAAATAAGGGAGATCTTGTGGAACGTACCTAGTCCTGTGTACTCTGCCGTAATATTCGTGATTTTCAGCATTGGATCATTAACTTAGCACGTTCCAAAGCATTCTCACTGACTATGTCGACTATGATGCCGGCGAAACGTTTGAGAATGTACCAAGTCAATTGTGTGAAGCTGGAAATCACGAATACTATGGTAGAGGACACGGGACGAGATACGTTAAACATGATCTCCATGAAGCTCCGGCCAAGTTGCGAAAGCAAGGTCGAACCGACATAAAATGTGTTCCAGATTTTTTCATTGTCCAAAATAAATACAAAGCGGAAGTTTATTTACACTTCATCTTGCCGCCATCGAGAATATTCACCCAAACATTCCTTAAAAGTTTCCCCTTTGTAATCATAGCCTACTTTTTGCTTACTAAAAAATATCAATGAGCATTGCAGTTTTAGAAAATACTTTTTAATCGAAAGGCGTTTTAGCAAGACTTCATATTATATAGCAAAGCATTAGTAAAGGCTAAATCTGTAAATAAGCTTACTATAAAGTCAGTGTGATTTATGCCTGATTCAACAGACATTTTATTAAAATTGAGTCTCTTTTGATACTAACATACCTTGAATAAGAACTGTATTCACCCCCGGTCGAGTAAGGTGATCAATTTGCCCATAGTGATATGAGTAAGCTTCCCGAGGTCGAAAATAAACGCTACACTACCCGAGATTAGATTCACGCTGGGGGTGTTGACGACGCCCAGACGAGGTCAAAACTGAAGTCAACCCTGGGTGAGAATACCTTTAGTGAGGTAGTGCTAAGTGAAATTCATTGATAATATAAGGCCTGATCATCTCATTGTGGAAAATTAAATTATCAGTCACCTTCACCATCTTATTCAGACTAGGATGAATAGTTTTTATTCAAAAAAAACTTTGTTCAGCCTCGACTGAAGCGAATTGTGAAGCCATCGTCAGAAAGGAAGTTCTGATATGGCAATCTAAAAGTATTTCTAAACCGTAAGCAAAATGGATAAATGATACAAAACACAGGATAAGCAGTTCGGTATAGGCGAAATTTATAGCGAATTCATGCATGCAAACTAAGAGTAGTCATCGCTGTTCACAAGCAGCCCAGTCATCAAGCACAGCATTATAAAAATAATTAAGAAGATTGGCGGACTAAGGTCAAAGGCTTGATAAAGATTTATTAATTAAGTTAGCATAGGATTGGTGAAGATGAACAAAAGATCATCAAATCGAATAGATAATGCATATATAAACTGACTTAATTTATCACCTCAACTAGTGAAGATCTCAGTATTTTTATCAGATCTTTCTCTGCATTCTCTTAAAGCTCTACTTCTCATATTCATTTGGCGTTCATCTTAATCAAAACTTAGTGAACCAAAAGCTTTTCTGTTATGGCCTAAAAATACAGTTCCGGATTACGATAAATACCATTTTAACCCTTAACAATATAAGCAGCTATGAGTCTATAGGACAAGATAGCCGGACTAATCAAATTAAAGAAATGTAGTTGGGTTTCTCCAAATAATTTCATACCCCCCTTCATTTTACGTGAAAAGTAGAATACAAAGGATTTGTATGAAGAATGTTTGATAGCTATGACTATTGGTTTGAATAAAAGTCATCAACGTGTCATCCTGTCTTTTTGGCAATCATAAACATCAGTAGAGCTAGAAACTATTATATAATAAAATTCGGCAGTGTTGGCTAATTGAACTAACTCGAGATCTTTAAATGAGATATCCTATTACTGTCTGGCTGCTTAGAGTATCCTTACGCCGGGTGAAAATGATACAAATGTGGCTTAACACCTTTACAGAGAACCTGAAATGTAAATACCTGTTGCAGTCTATGAGTGAGTGTTTCCTATATATGCATTTCTCATTAATCAATAGAAGGTTAAAGTTTAAGCCAGATTCAAGACAAGTCAAGTCTCTTACGTTTGCGCAAAAGATTCACCTACCCCTATTCATTAATTCCAACCGAAATCCAGAGATAGTTCTTGTTCACTTTCATATGCGGAAATAGGTGTTTGTGTCATTATTTCAGCATAGGAGACTCAACTATTAGGCTTTGAATCACCTAAGTTGAAGAGCGTTTATCTAAAAAAAATCACGTGACAATTTTGAAACCTACTTGTCCTGAATAATTGTGAAGTTATCTGACAAAAAGTTTATTTCTCAGACGGCATCTGCCACGTTGTGACAGATTAATAACCAGTAATGGGAGCCCAGGATTTCAGCAAGAAAGACCGCGGAATTATAAGATTAAATCAACAGATATAACTCCAAATGAATCTAGACTCAAGTTCTTATCCGATTACCTTCTAGCTCATTCCTTAGTAAAAAAAATTAGTAGACGGAGAATTTTTGGTGGAAAGACGTGAGCATTGCGAAATTAAGGGCAGATTTCACCAGATGAACAAAGAAGGTGGAGTCCATCACGTATGAAGTAGACCCAAATTCATTAAAGGTTAAGAGCGCAAAACGAGGGATATGTACACGTGTTTGTAAATGTTTACGCCTCCGAGGACGCCAGGATTGTATCAGATTGATAGAGTGAAAAGAAGGTAAATGCAGAAGGATCGCCTAGCCGCTGCTGAGTAAGCTGATGGCGCAGCAGATACAATTTACTAGGCTAAACAAATGAGAGGGCTATCTTCACCTTAAGCAGTTGAAACGAGGCAGTGCAGGCAGCTGGTTTGCGAGATCGATAGTAAAATAATGGGATTGTTTAATTGCTTATATTGCCAAGGT